CATGTATCAAACACAATGGTCCAGTTTTGACAACCACTCCTGCAGGATCTGCAAAAAAAGGCGGTGGTGCCAGCGAGCTTTTGACAGTGCTTCCATGGAAACGGTATACATATGTGGGCGAGCAAGCCACGCCACATATCCATGAATTTCTTTGCTTGCAGGTACGGATTCAGGCGCATGCGCCGTGCTGCAGTTGATGTTGCAAGTGAGGCAACACGATGGCAAGCCGCTGTCCACGCCTTAAGTCGTTCTGATATATAGGCTGGTTGCAACATGTGGCCCATGCGTGGCTCAGCTCGCACGTGGAGACCTCGCTGGGGCTATACACGCTCGCAGGTCCATGTATATAGATGCGGGGAGGCGCTGCTTGCAGATTGTTGGCGGGCGCCACCGCGCGCAGCGGGGAGGGGCTGCGCGATAAACGCATCGTCCATGTATGCGCAGAGGATGCACGTTCCATGCTTTACAGAAAGCCTTTCACAATCATCCAGTATTATCAAAGGAAGTTGGATAGCAAGATATACATGTGACCGTTCCCGATTTTTGTTCAATGTTATGGTTCTTCAAGGCATGTTGATTTTCTGCAGTGCTCATGGTTCCATTGCTCACATGGACAAAGCGCTGGCAATGATTGCCAAAAATTGTTCTCTATATTTTTTACATGTGATGATATGAAAAATTGTTATCATTTTTCTAATGGAAACTAGTGAAAAAACAAAAGGTATGTGCAGATTTAGGCCACTTAGTAGACTTACCTAACCCACTTAGGATACTTAGCCTTAAGTGCCTTAAGTGTAATTACATTACTTAAACTAAGTGCCTTAAGTGCGTTTAGGTAAGTGTGCTAAGTGCCTTAAGCACCTTCAAAACTATTTGCACTAAGTGACTTAGGCTAAGTGCCCTAAACGTTTACAGTTTGGTTAAATATTTAGTAAGTGCCATATATACTTACTAACCAGGCTGACCCTCCAAGTAGAGCACTGTCTTGACCAATGCGGGCGCGTGTCCCCGCCTTGCCAGCCAAGGAAGCGCTGAAGTACACACAGCCACAGTTCTTCGTAGGTTCCAAAGTCTGTACTATGCTGGCCCCAAAACAAATTTTTTGGAGCCAGCAAAGGGATGGATTGGCAATCGCTGGACTGAGCACGGTTTCTCAGCCAAGCCAAGCTTTGGGGGGACCAGGTTGGGGCCTGATGATGGCACGCCATGAGATTTCTGCTTTTCATTGTGTTTATATATATATATAAGCGATATACAAACGATTTCTTCTTGGGAGTTGTGGATTGAAACAAAGCTTGCTGTCATGATAGGCTTCAGATGTCAAGACAGCATCGCATAAAAGACGTTGGATACCTTTCTGGAACCCTCCCTGTAAGCTCCAAAAATGATTGTTTTTCGGGCAAATTTAGCACAGACTTGCGACAAGGAGTTAGGAGTTATACATCTTTCATTTGGTCAAGCCCACATAGCACGGGCAGCACGGTGCGGGGCTAAACCTCTGTGTTGGCAGGATGCATGCCAATAAAATGAGAAGAAGCGCCAGCCGAATAGCACTACCCAGGCTGGTTGTTGACGGGGCCCTTGTGAAGATGTTTTCTTGGCGCAAAGAATCATGTAGGGCGACTCTCACTTCCGTCACTGGGAGTCTTTGGACGAGCAGTCTTGACACTTATGGAGGTTTGGGCGGCGGTCGCGCGCGGAGCGCGTGCAGGGCGCGTGCGGAGAGCATGCGGGGCCCGTCCGTGATCCACCCAGCCCTCTCTCATTCATTTCGTTGATCTGGCATTGGCAATCTGGTTTCCTCAAGGTGGAGTGCCAGTCTCTCACTTCGGCTCTCTGCCGAATTTGCAACCAAATGGTTTCTGCTTGAATCGACCGCAAATGACCGCCGTCTCAGATGTCAAGACTACATGAAAGAAGGGAAAAGGTCTCTGGGTCACTCCTCCGTGACTTTGCACGCCAATTTAGAAAAGATTGTACACAAAATGTTGTATATCCAACATGCCTGCCAAACCTTCTTCAATCCCAGGTTGGTGATTAGTGTCTAGTGCGCTGTCCTGACATCCGCTCCGCGGCCCCTTGGCATCGACCACCCACAGGGAATTTTTTAGTGAGTAGATAAACACACGAAGCCCGCAAACACCATCAGCTTTCCAGCATATCCTTCCCAGGATGGGAAAGATCAGGCGGCGGAGCCAAAGGAAGAGGACACCAGGGGCTGGTGGGCCTGCTGTCATGGTGTGAAGTTAGACGCCTTTCTCGGCCCCACTTTCTAGGCTCCAAAGAATTTCTGTTTGGGGCAGTGTAGCACAGACTTTCTACAAGAAGTTCGGAGCAACATCTTTCAGATTTGGTTGCAGGGCCCCTGGCTGGACCTTTGTGTTGGCAGAGCGGTGGCAAAAAGAAGGAGGACGAGCCAAATAGATGTCAAGACTTTAAGGTAGAAAAGCTTTTTGGGTGACCCTGCTTTGTAGGCTACAAAATTTTGAGAAGATTGGAATGTCCTGCCAGCCAGGCGTATAGCATCAGGACAGCCAGCCCACGAAGCTAAAGGAAGCAAAAGTTCAGGACCAGGGCAGGCTGGGCGTTGGCGCGCGCAGTTACAAGTTACAAGGGCGGGTTTGCGAGTCTGCCTCCTTTTGTCACTGAAGGGTGTCTTTGGATGAGCAGTCTTGGGCGGCGGTCACATAGCAAAGCTTGCAGCATGGGAGGTTTTAGATGTCAAGACTGCTTCGCATGAAAGAAGCTGAAACCTTTCTGGACAAACCCCGGGAATAATTCCAGGCAAACACCTGGACCGGCTTCCGGCCGAGTGAACAGGGAGAACAAGTAGAATGCCAGAACTGGTAGAAGAATGCCGAATAGCATTGCCCAGGCTGGTTGTTGACGAACATGTTGCGCCTGGGGCAAACAATCAGGTAGAGCCACTCTCACTCAAGTCCCTGGTGTCTTTGGACCCGCAGACAGTTATGGAGGTTTGGGCGGTGGTCGGGTGCGGAGCGCGGGCAGGACCCGTCCGCGATCTACCCAGCCCTCTCTCATTATTTGATCTGGCATTGGAAGTCTGGTTTTCCACCTGCAAGGGCGCAGCTGGATCTGGAAGAGTTTTCTCGAGTTTTTTTGTCATATTGACAGCGGGAAGGCGTTGGTCACTGCTAGCAACATGCTCTGTCTTCACGTTTCTGCAACTGGGAAGGGTATAGATCCAAGTCTAGTGCCTTTTGGCGCTTGTTGCGTTGCTCGGATTGGCCAATGACGCCACTGGACTGTGGCTGCCAAGACAGTGCTGGAAAAAGAAAAGGATTGCGCTGTCAGTTAGGGTTGGGGCCAGCCATTTTCTAGAGGTCTCATGGCGTGCTACCACCAGGCCCCAACCTGGGCCCCCCCTAAGCTTGGCTTGGCTGAGAAATCGTGTTGAGTCCAGCGATTGCCAATCCATCCCTTTGCCGGCTCCAACAAATTTGTTTTGGGGCCAGCATAGTACAGATTTTTTACAAGAAGTCTAGAGCAACCTCTTTCAGATTTGTTTTTTTTGGCCTACATCGCGGGGTCCCTGGCTCGACCCCTGTGTTGGTTGGCAGGAGCGGTGGCAAGAAGAAGGACCCATGTGAACATGCCCCTTTTTTGCGCTGAGAATCGCTTAGAGGAAGGTGGAGTGCAAAACTTTGCAACCAAATAAGTTTCTGCTTGAAATGACCGCAGACGACCGCCGTCTCAGATGTCAAGACTAAACTACGAAGAGGTCTCTGGGTGACTCCTCCGTTGGAGGCGTGACTTTGGACCAGCCAAGAGAAGAAGGAGGACAAGCCAAACAGATGTCAAGACTTCAAGGTAAAAAACTTTCGGGTGACCCTGCTACAAAAGTGTGAGAAATTTGGAATGTCCTGCCAGCCAGACGTATAGCATCAGGACGATCAGCCCACGAAGCTAAAGGAAGCAAGAGTTCAGGACCAGGGCAGAGCGTTGGCGCGTGCAGTTGCCAGGGCAGCTTTGTGAGTCTGCCTCTTTTTGCCACTGAAGGGTGCCTTTGGATGAGCAGTCTTGGGTGGCGGTCACATAGCAGAGCTTGCTGCCATGGAAGGTTTCAGGTGTCAAGACTGCTTCGCATGAAAGAAGCCGAAAACTTTCTGGACTACAAAGTTCCTGGCAAACGCCTGGACCGGCTTCCGGTCGAGGGAACAGGGAGAACAAGTAGAACGCCAGGCCTGGCAGAAGATGTATAATGTTCAGATGCCGTGCCTGAGAAAGTTTTGTTGCTGGTTTCTTACGCTTGCATGCATTTAGGTTGTTGGGTGTTCTTCTGGAGCACTGTCTTGACCAATGGGCGCTGCGTGTGATTAAGGTCCCACCGCCCGGGCGCGTGGTCCCCGCGTTGCCGGCAAGGAAGCGTGGCAAAGGTTCTTCGTGAGAACGGCAAAGGAAGCGCCCAGAAGTACACACTTCTGTAGCTCTTCGTCTACAGTCTTGACATTATGAGACGCTAGTAGAGGATCCTTGATGCCCCCGACAAATTGAGCACACAAAAACACTAGCTTGGTCAGTTCTCTGTGTGTTTCAAGGCCTTCGCCGACAGTCTTGACATTGGGCAAAGCTAAAAAAGGATCCTAGATATCCCCTGAATTGTCAAAAAACAGCAAAATTTGCGCGCTCTGGCTCACTGTCTTGACATTTGTATTACTTTTTTTATCCATTGCCAACCTTACCGTCTTTACATCCAACTTGGGTCTAGGCCACGGTCCCCAGCAAAGACTTTGGAACTTACTATATATATATATATATGTTAAGTTTCTCTAAACGTCTAGGAACCAAATGAATAGTGCGAGCGCTTCTTCAAAGAAGCTGCCCCCAGCGCCTTTGGGGAGCTTTTTTGAAGAAGCGTGAGCTATCCTGCGTCCAGTTACTAGTAGCTACTTGAGCTACTAGCGGCTCCCAAGCCTCTACTAACTACCTACCTAGCGAACCTATCTCACCTCTAGGGCCTCTATGGTCTAACATCGAAGGAGGGACTTGCAAGAAGCATCGCTCCAAGCTGGTTTGGAAGTCTTTGTCTCAGCTTCACACGATTCGACGCAAAGGGGAGGTTCGAGGTTCGATCGCTCCCAGTTTTGTTGGACAAAGCACAATGGAAGTGTCAGCTCGATGAAAGTGGTTTTGGTATCTTTGGTCAGATTCAGTTTTTGAGATACTTACTAAATCATCATACTACTAGTAGCTAGAAGCTACTAGGTTGCAGGCCTCGCTATTAGGTTGGAGGCCACCGCTACTAGTAACAAGGGCATTACTTGAGGTACTTGGCATTGGATAGAATTTGACCAATGGGGGCCACGCTTCCACGCTACCTACAACAAGAAAAATAAGCAACGAGAGACCTGAAAAGGCAACGGCCGACCTGAGGTTAAGCCTTGGGAAAAGCAATATGGCCCAACGTAGTCCCACCTAAAATGGCAAGAAACGAGAGTTAGAAACCTGGCTCTTGCCAGGGTCAAAGCAGTTGATTCATCGAATCTAAGGTTTGGCAAACTCCAGAGCTGATCTGAGTTGGTTCTCTTCCAGTGCTGAGACCGGTGTGTACCACCAGGCAAAACTTCTGCACTGTTCCGGTCAACTCAGTTGATTCAACTGCTCAGGTCGAAACACGCCTGGAGAAATCACCTTGTTAGCTTCTGCCCCTTGACCCAACAAGACATGTTAGTCCAAGTCTGTCGGGTTCATCGGTTCATCAAAACATCGATCAGGAATCAAACGAGTCACGTGAAAGTCACGATGAGTGTCACGAGTAGCTTATTATATAGTTTGTTGCTATTGGAGGCCATCTCTTCTAGGGGGGAGCAGGAGCAAGGACGCTACTAGCCTGGCCTTACTACTAGGAGCAAAAAGCTACTAGGGGCTCCTGGCATCGCTACTAGGAGCAAGGACGCTACTAGGTTGGAGCAGGCTTGAAAAAGAAATCAGGTCTTTGCTGAAAGGCCGTGCCGTGCCTCAGAAAGCTCGTGGCTGTTCAGTCTATGTCCCTGTATCGAGCTTTGGCGCAACACTTGCAGGCGCCAAAGTCTTCTTGGAAAGTTGAGACGAACACATGCTGCATACATAGTAACATAGTGTTTTTCTTAAGGTTTTTGGCATGGCGTTGTTCTTTGTTCCTTCATTTTGCTAAGGCCAGTGGTCTTCTTTGACTATGATCCGCTTTCTAAAGCTGCTCCACGGGACTGCAGCAGGCCCTGTAGCCTTCGGTTGGACCGAACTGGAAAACTAGAATCAGATGCCCTTTGTTACTAATAGCTTCTTGTTCCTAGTAGTAAGGCCAGGAGACACTAGTAGCGTCCTCGCTCCTAGTAGCAATGCCCTTTGTTCCTAGTAGCATCCTTCCTCCTTGAACACATTCTGCTTCCTGGCCTTTCTTAAAGCGTCTTTGCACAATCACCATTTTGATGACGTATACTGTGTATAGCTGGAGGATTCCTGACCTTTTGCTCATACGCGCGATCCAGGCTTCTTGGTGAAGAAGAAGTGCAAGCATTGGGCATTTCTTCTTTGCCGCAGAATCATGGTTGTTCTATTTTGTTTTTTTTGCGTATTTTTTGATGCCAATCTTAGTGACACGTGCTTATTCACAAGAACCTCCCAAGTATAGTGACTCTAGTGGCTTTGCATGGATTCAGTGACCCAAAGCTTGCCTTTGTATCCAAGGATGTTCTTCTGCTTGCAGACGACCCGGGATGTCCACGAGTGCGCACACAGAATGGTTGTGACCAAGACAGCAGGCTCACTTTAGTGCAACTGGAAGCAGACCGGACTCCATGAAGAATACTACGACTAATAAGGCATTTGTTACTAGTAGTTGTTACTACTAGTAAGGCACTTGTTAGTTAGTCCAAGGCATTCAAGAAGTTGCAACTTTCTTCTGGTGACCGAGCAGGCTTTGAATCCTTTGAACATGAAGGAGACGGTAGTATGACAGCAAGTTTTGCGTGGTTGTGCGAACGACCTTAAACATCTTCTTCCTGGCGGAGCACAGAGCTGTTTTTGTACAGGTACAACGCGGTTGTCAACACCTTCAGGCGTGCACTCGCTCTTGCTGTAGCAGCTCTTTATTGTATATCTCTTCCATCCCAAGACCCTTGAACTGTTGCGGTCTCACAGCACGTGGCGTTGTGCTTTTCTGGTTCTTTACAAAAGCCATTGAACGCCCTTGCTTGAACGCATAACATTTTCATGTCTCTGGATACCTTTAGGTCTTCACATGATCAATTTTCGGAGAGATCCTTCGATGCTCTTAGGCTTGTTTGTCGATGGGTCAAGAGGATCTTTGCTTTTCGATGAATTTTCAGTGGAATTGGGCCGAGTCGGTGAGGACCGCGGGCTTTGAACGAGTTAGCGTTGGGTCTCCGAAGTTCTCCATCTATTGGGGCCGGAGATCTCAGATGTGACTGGAAGACTACAGTTGGGGAAGGATACGCTTTTGATCCCAGCGACAACACGTGGCCACACACTGCAGTTACACAACATGCTACGTACACAACTTCTAAGTTACAAGTTTTAGTTTCGTAGTAACAAGAAGCTAGTAGAAACAAGTGCCACGCTAGTAGTAACAGGTGCCTTACTAGTAGTAACAAG